TGTGGGTTTGTTTTTGTTGTTCTGGTCTGGGTTGGGCATTAGGAGTGGAAAGTAGGGGACATTACAAACAATGAGGCTCCCAGATATCAAATAAAATACAGTGTCTGCCCATGTGTGTGGAGATAACAATGGACATTCAAAAAGAATATTCCTTCTTTTCCAAAGGGGCTCCCTAGGGCACTAAGAATGTCTTCAGTGGATTAGGATCTGTCTGTCTTTAATGAGACCTCCATTGGAATTCTACTGCACCCTAAGACTCAGGCCCATTGCCAAACTCTTAGAATTAGCTCCTTCTAGGTTGATGGGGAGCCATGTGAAACATCCTTTTGGTTGGGGCACCTGAAAAAGCTGAAAACTCTCTCTACTGAGCTACTAACTCTGTCTTGCTTCAGGGATGGTCCCTGGATCTCTAAAACAGACAAGGGCTGCTGGATTGGACCAATGGTTCCCTTCTGAGTCACAGGAAGCAGTCAACAGTAGAATGCTATTCTAGCTAAAAAAGACAAACAAAAACCCAAAATCTATAAGTCCTAAGCACACCTGCCCTGGTGGGAGGGTTTCTGCAAATGGTGTGAAATTAGCTTGGGAAGGCTGCCAAAGGCCACCAGCTTGGCGGCCTGCTGGGTTCATGCGGCTATCTTTCAGGAAGTGGTTCATGGTGAACATGATCGATGCCGGTGCCAGCAAATCACAACTGGAAAATTAAAAAAAAAAAAGATCGTCTGGGATATTGAATGAGTTTCTGCATTCCCAAGGACAAAATACTAGAATGTAGATTTATTAATAGAAGGGCTCTGTAATTTATTTGATCACTGTTTCAACCTTTTGAAGAAAAACATCTTGTCTGATTATTCATGGACTTTGGCTGTGTGACCAAGGGTAAGTCACTAAAGCTCCCTGAGCTTCAGTTTCCTTATCTGCAAAAAAGAGATAATAACAGCTATAGCACAGACCTCATAGGGTGGTGGTTAGAATTAAATTAGAATTAAATAAATTATATGTGTGTGTGTGTGTGTGTATGTGTGTGTGTGTGTGTGCATAAGTGCTTTGCAAACATTAAAGCTTGTATAAAGTTAGCCATTATTGGTATAATTTTTTCAGACAGGACCTTTAATTTTATTGGTGTAAATATCTCCCATAAGGTAACTCCCTCTACCAATGCCAGCCAGGAACTAGTCTGCAACTTGAGATCTTAGAGGATTACCTGAGAAGTTACTGGGGTCACACAAACAGGACATGGTATGGGTAGGGCTTGAACCCAGGTCTTCCGGACTCTAAGACTAGCTATTTATCCATTATACTACACTGCTTCTCATTATTATTATTATTCGTTATTAGCACTACCAGTATTATTACTTTACATAAACAATTTTTAAACCAAATTCTCTGAATAATGAGAACTAGCCAGCTGGAAGGCACATATACAAAGCCTGCAGACCCCAGGAGGGCCAGTACACGTAGAAGGTCATGAGAACTTCTGTCTCCACCAAATGTAAAACTCAAAATCTCTGTTCGACAAGAGGCAGCTTTGTCTGTTGCACTCTCTGAACTGCCTCGATGTAGTCTAACATTGCCTTACGGCTCCCGAGGATAGAGGCGGTGCAGGTGGGTGGAAAAGGCCCTGGGTGTACAGTCAGAGGGCTTGGCTTTGCTGCTCATTACCTGTGTGACTTTGGGGAAGTTGTTTAACCTTAACAGACCTCAGTTTCCTCCTCTGTGAAGTATGTGCATTAGAGGGCTAAGCTAGTTGACCTCTTTTTTAAAAAATTTTTTTATTGATTTCATTAAATATTTCCCAATTACATTAAAAAAATTTAATTCATTTTTTAAAAATTTGAGTTCCAAATTCTCTCCCTCTTTCCCATCCCTCTCCTGAACCTTAAGAAGGCAAGCAATATGATATAGATTATACATGTAAAAGTCATACAAAACACATTTCCATATTAGCCATGTTACAAAAGAAAACACAAAAAAACCCCAAGAAAAATAAAGAAAGGAAAAAAGTATAAAGCTAGTTGACCTTAAAGATCCCTGCCCCTAAGTCTTGAGATTCTATAAAAGGATTCTGAATGTATCCGGTCATGCTATTTGCCAGTGATTTGGCGAGATTTTCTATCACACAGTGATCAAAATCAAATAATTAATTCCATAACCTGGGAATTACTTTGTGAAGCTTTGCCACACTGTACTTTCTTTGAAATAATAAGAACTAACTGTGATCTTCTAATGTAGTCATAATAATATTTACTTTGCCTCTAAGTCAGTTTCCTCATCTGTAAAATGGGGATATTAATAATAGTTGATCCTCACAGGATCAAATAAGAGAAGACATGTAAAGCTTTGTAAACTTTAAAGTGATATAAAAATTCTAGCTGCTGTTAATCACTTCATTTGAAACAGGAATTGCCTCTGGTCCTGTACTATATACTATATTAGGGAATAGGAACTGAACCTCTGATTTGATTGGTACAGGGAAATAGCTCAACCAAGTTAAGTTGGTTGAGATCTCTTCTGCCACTTGAAGTCTTAGAGAGCTGCCATCTTAGAGATGGGCCATCTACAGTTGTCCTGATCTATATCTGGCCACTGGACCCAGATGGCTCTGGAGGAGAAAGTGAAGCTGGTGACTTTGCACAGCCCTGCCTCACTTAAATCCAATTTAATTGCACCATTTTCCTAACATCATGGTCCTCTTCGAGAACAAAGGACAAACCACACACAATAGAAAGCTTCCACCTCCAGCACTGGGATGCAGAGACTTGCCCCAAACCCAGGTCTTCCCAGCTCCAAACCAGCTCCGAATCTGGCTTTCTATCCACTCTGCCATCTACACCATATTACCTACATATTATGGGATATGAGAAAGCCTATCATAAGAGGCCAATCAATCAACAAGCATTTATTAACCACTTACTACGTGCTACATGTGCTTGATGTTGTAGCTATAGATGCAATAAAGGAAATAATTCCTATTTGAAATGAGCTTACTTACAGAGGTAAAGCATAAAATCTTTCTCTTTATATGGATAGAGATCTATGTTAATAACAGAACCTTGACAGTTATACTGGGGGAAAAGGAAGTCTTTCAGAATTCTTTCCCACCACAAACTCCCGAACAGTTCAATAAATATTTTTTAAAACCTGACTGTGCGTGCAGATGTCAGTGAAGAATGCTAAACCAGCCCCTCTCATTGGTCAGAAAATTCAGGGGTCAAGGCAGCCCTGGCTAGGGTGTTGTTGCAATCAAAACCAGGGAAAGTCACATAAAAACACTGGTGTCTGTGAGCGTCTCAGTCTGCTAATCATGCTCCTTTGGGCTTGAAATGAACTAACCCAGCCTGGTCCTCTATAAATTTAGGACAGTTAAAAATGCTAGAAGTAACATTTTGGTTTTAGTCAGAAATCGCACAAGGCATTCCTCCACCAGTAAGCCTTGGAGTAGCCAGTCAAGTGACAGATCAAATAAAGAGGACACTTAATGCACATGCAAATCATTTGCATTACAAATCAGACACTTTAGAAGGGTTTGGACTGTCAGCCTGAGATTCTGGATTAAGCTACCATATTCATGCATGCATTTGGTGCAGCTATTTTGGGTGGGATACTTCATCCATCATTGTCCTCCAGTACTAAGTAAGGCCAACTAGTAAACTGATCACCCCAGCCTGTCAACACTCCCGGCTTAATGACATAAAGAAAATATATTGAAAAGATGTTTCAAATCATGCATTTTCCTTCATAGTTTAAGCTGGAGCCCAAGGACATGCAGAATCTTTCCCAAGGGCCTACAAAGGAATGACTGGGAAGCATTTAAGAAACTTTAAAACGAGAACTGGATGCTTCTTAATTTGTCCCTTATGGTCTCTTCTAATCAAGTTCTATTCTAATTTGCACAGACAGATTTTAAGGGTATAGTAAGCAGTAAATGAAAGATTAACTGGATGAAATTATTTCATTTTGAAGATTTCCCTTCCAAAACTAAGCCTGGCATATGTGTTATTAATTTGGAGAAATGTGAATAATGTAAAGCCAAACTTAGTCATGCTACATTAAAGCAAGTTATTAATTTTTATCATTTTTATTCATTTTAAATGATGAAGTTCAAAAAGGGGGAGAAGAGAATATTTACCAATATATGAAATGAATTCCCAGAATGCTCTTTTTGCTGATAAATCTTTTTCTGCATAATGGGAAAATGTTTCCTCATTGCTGGATATATGTACTCTTCTCCATTAAGTCATCTAAAAACTATAAATTTACCAAATAAAATGTCCAATAAAATCCTCAAGCAAACAAATCATATTAGTGTGCCACATAGGTATAGTCTTTTTCTACATATCTGATATATCCTGTGGACAACCAAGAGAATTTAATAATCTAGTGGACATCACAATTTCATAAATTGTGAATAAACTTAAATCTGTCAAAGATTTCTATTTGGATAGTTTTCCATGAATGCCTTAGCCTTGTATTTCTGACATTAGCAAAACAATATTGCATGTCTAGTTGGCTGCCCTGAACTTTCTTCATTTGAAACCTTATCTCCTTTACTAGTTCAATCTGTTAAAAGAAGGCATTTCAAGTCTTACCTCAAACATCACAAATAAACATGAAATGTCTCTGATGAATGATTTTAGTGGTGGCAGTCTGAAAACAATACACCTGAAAAGGTAACTTTCCAACTATAAAGAATTTAAATGCTCCAAATTATATGGACACACAAGATTAAACTTCTGGTTATTCCAAACAAAATCCCTTTACAAATTTTGGGAATCAGCTTTTCCCCTCTACTGGATAAAATGCCAAAGGTCAGGACTATTTCAGTTTTATCTTTTTGGGGAGCAAGATTTTCACTACAACAGAATTATCTGACCTAAATTCCCTGACATAACATTTCCTCCCTAAGCCACACTGATGACACCTAGGTTATCAGGCATTTTTTTAAAAAGACCTTTGACTTTCTTTAAAATGCAATGAAAAGGTTGAGAGACTCGTCTTACCCTCTTTCTTGGTGGGCTCTGGCATTGTGGAGAGCTTTCTTCTTCCCTGTGCTGGTTGATGGAGACCCCAAGGCCTGCTGAGAGATGCTGCTGGTCAGTTTGACAAGCAGATGGGGAGAATTCCTGGGCTTTATATATGGCCTGGGGCACTCAATCACACTGGCGCCTCCTCTGTCCACCGTGCAGAGATGCTGGAACTTGACAGCTATGGGAGCCTCGCTCACTCACATCTGTTGTCTGCACTCTGCGCTCTCCCTACCATTGGAAGGAATCTCCACTTCAGCTCATGTGGCTGAGGAGAGAGAGCACCTCTAACTTTCTAAATTCAGCAGCTACAGCTGCATGTTCTCATTCTTTCTCCTCTTTCCCTCTCCCTCCTTCCTTTCTTCCACTCATCTTCAATCCTTTTTTTCTTCCGCCTTCTTCCTCTTTCCCCTCTATTGTCTCTTTTCCCTCTCTTCTCTTTCTCCCTCCTTTCTCTCTCCCCTCACTTCTCTTTCCCTTTTTTCTCTCTTTCTTTCTAATCCTGTCTTTCTCCTTCTTTCTCTCCCTCTTCCTCCTCTCTTTTCTGTCTCCTTCCTTTACTTCTTCCTCCTTCTCTCTCTCTCTCTCTCTCTCTCTCTCTCTCTCTCTCTCTCTCTCTCTCCTTTTCTTCTCTGTACCCTTCTCTCTTCTGCCTTCTTTTCTTTCTCTTTTTCCTATCCTTTTACTCTCCTCTCTCCTTTCTTTCTTACCTTCCTTTCTTCCAGTCTACTCTTTTCCTTCTTCTCTGCTCTTTCTCCCTTTGCTCTCCTCCTTTTTTCTTTTTCAACTCTTTCTCTTTCTCCCTTCTCCTTTCTCTCTTTTCTTTCCTTTTTCTTTCTCTCCTTCTATCTCAATCTTTCTCTGCCCTACCCCTTCCTTTCTCTTTCCCTCAACCTACTTCTCACCCTCACCAGGCTCAGAAATCAAAAGATTTTGCCATATAGTTTACAGATTCTTGCTAGTGTAATAGAAACTTTTGCTTTTTCACCAAGATAAAAAATCAGGGAATAACTTTGATAAAATTACATACTCATTTAGCTTTTCATTAACAATTGACTATTCTATCATATAATAATTTTTATTTTTCCACAAGGTACCTGAAGTCGAACTAAATGTTCATGCTGAATTCTTGGTTTTACTGTCTCCTCCGGACAGGATAAAGTAGACATAAACCTAGCTCCATTCATCCTCCTACAGAGACTTTTAAACTACCTAAATGCTGGCAAAGAAAAACATATGGAAAGTCTCTCACCGTTTTATTTCAAAAGTACACACAAGTCTACCTTAAAATATAACTGAACATCTTTGCTTTTTAGGAATGTGCCAAACCTACTCAAAACCAGTTAATTCCTTAGAAAGTTTTCATGGAACAACAGATCAGTAAACCACAAACAGTAAGTTGAAATCGTTTGCCCATTTGCAGGAACAGCCCACAGCAAAAGGCTTGGAAGCTACTTTTCTGTTTGATGAGAATTAAAAAGAAGGGGATTTGGCATCATGGGACTTGGCTGGTTCCACAGCTCTACCTGTGTGACCTTGGCTAAGTGACTTCATCTCTCTGGCCTGGTCCCCTCCTCTGTTAAATGAGAGGGGGCAGGATAAGATGATCCCAGGAGTCTGCTCCTGGAGTCTGGGACATGCTGGAGCTGCTTTTGCAGTGGTGATGAGATGATGGGTTTGTGTTGAGGCATCCATACTTTCTCACCCAATTTTCCTCCTGACTCTCACATCTGCAACCTATCTCATTAGCACCATACTTTAACCAAATAGAAAAAAAAACAGCTGAGACAACCTCCTTTGCAAAGAGTGTAGAAAGACAGGAACACAATCCAAGGTTATTCTTGATACTAGGTCTCTTATGCAACTGCAGATGTCATTGCTCACATAATTTTTTTTTCTTTCACTCCTGGATACTATTAAGGGCTAACAGGCAGCCTATAGGTAATCATTTGAAAAAAATTCTTTTAAAATTTGATATTATTCTAAAGGAAATAGCTCACCTTTAGCAGGCTAGCATTGAGATGTCACACTATTAAAGAACCTAATCAAAGTGTTCTCATTTGGAAGTTCTAGTCCTGACTAATGAGCTGTGTGTCTTTGAGAAAGGCGCTTAATCTGTCAGGGCTCTGGTTTCATTTGTAAAATAATGGGGCTAGACAGAATGATCTCCCAGGCTCCAATTCTCTGTGATTCTTTTAGAGTTCTGAGCACTGGATTTGGAGTCAGAAGCACTGGGTTCAAATCTCAGCTTGGCTACCTGTTCTCTGTGTGAGTTTGGGTAAGTCTCTGGGCATTCATTTCCTTGCCTTTAAAATACTGGGCCAGACTTGTGGGTCTCCAAGTCCTCTCTCACCTCTGACATGTCAGCAGGCTCACTGAAGGGTCCATTTTGTTTGGTGGTGTTGGCTGTACATAGGACCATGCTGCAGAGGGATCACTTTTCAGCATCTCCAGCACGCGGACAATTGCATATGAGACACGTTCAAGGACAGCATCTCACATTGCAGGAGAATCTTTACAATGACAGGCAGATTTCATGCATGCCACCGAAGAGGTGAGGGGACATTATTGGTTCGTGACACACTACAGAAAGAAACTCAGAGGGTAGGAGATACTTCTCCCTTTACTGACATGCACATCTGCCAGAAGATCTTCTAACCTGGGTGCAAGTTGGTGTGACTGAGGCAGTCCTGCACTACCAAAATGCTTGATTCTTGGAGGGAGCTGAAATGCAGATGAAGTCTGAGAACAAGAAGTAAAAAGAGGGGGTTTATATTGAAGGGAGATTAAAAATAAGGCTCATTAGCCAGACTTCCATTTATAGGATCACAATGTGACCTGGTTCCACTTGACTGATACAGAACCATGTAACCCCTGCTTGGAGAGGGAGCATGGCACGGTGGACAGAGATAACCAGAGGTTCAGAAAGATCTGGTTTCAAGTCCTACCTCATTCAGCTGAAATTGCCCTCTGAAAATGACCAGTCATCTCTTATTTGCCAAATCCAATGACCTTTTTGTCAGTTTTCTTGGACTCTGTGGTAGTTAAAACGTCGACTACTTTCTCTTCCTGAATATTTCCTCTTTGCTGAGGCAGGTTGGGGAGCAGTGGATAGAGTGCTGGGCCTGGAGTGAGAGCTGACCTCAGATACTCGCCAGCTGGGTGACCTCAGGCAAGTCACTTCACCTCTGTTCGTCTCAGTTTCCTCATCTGTAAAATGGGGATAATAACAGCACCTATTTCTGACTGTGAAGAGAAAGTGAAGCTGACAATTTAGCTCAATTCTGCCTCACTTAAATCTGACTCATGCACAAGACAAGATGTCACCCACGATGCCATCAGTCCTCTTTGGAAACAAAAGAGGAACAACAACAACTTCCCAGGGTTGTCGTGAAAATCCAATGAGACGACAGTCGTAAAGTGCTCACCACTGTGCCCGGTACACAGTCGGTGCCACATAAATGCCAGCTATTGTTCTTACTATTAGTATTAGATTTCCGTGACACCACCCCCTCCTGATTCTCCTTTCCCTACCTGTCCACTCAGTCTCTTTTGCTGAATCTTCACAAAGGGCATGTCCACTAATGGGCATCCCCCTGGCTCTGACTTGGGCCTGCTCTTTCTCCTCCATCCTGTGTCATGACCCTCTCTAGCTTCTACAGGTTCACTTAGCATCTCTATGCAGATGAAGCCCTGATCTACATGTCCAGCCCTGGGTTCTCCCCTGAGTTTCCCCTACCTGCCTTCTGGACACCTCTAACTAGATTCCCACAGGCATGTCTAATTTAACATGTCTAAGACATAACTCATTATCTTTCCCCCCCAAACATTCCCCCTTTCCGCCTTCCCCACTCCCTCGGTCACTCAGGCTCAAAGCCTTGGTGCTCACCTTTAACTTTTCACCCTCACTCATGCCACACGTACAGTCTGCTGCCACATCTCATTGCTTTCCACTTTCACAACATCTCTCTTTGCCGCCTTTTTCTCTCCACTCGTCCAGACCTCGTCACCTTCCACCCCGACTGTTGCAATCGCTTTCTGCTCCATCTCCCTGCCTCCAGTCTCTCCAGTGTCCAATTCATCCTGCACTTAGCAGACAAAACGATGTTTCCTAATTCATGCCCCTATCTGATAAACTCCAGTTGCTCTAGGAGCAAACCTAAAACCCTTTGTTTAGCATTGAGAGCCCTTCACAACCTGGCACCTTCCTATCTTTCCAGTCTTCTTATATCTACTTCCCTCTACATACGCTGTGATCCTCCATGTTGTTCCTCAGAATGGCTACACATGGAATGCCTTCTCTCTTCCAGCTTCTAGTTTCCCTAGATTCCTTTAAGATACAGTTTAAATCCCACCTTCTGAGGGCCTACTAGCTGCTCAAGAGTTCCCTTTACTCTCTATATCTTATATTTGCTTATTTATTTATAAAGTCTCCCCCATTAGAATGTGAGCCCCTGGAGGTCAGGGCCTGTTTTTGCTGTATCCTCAGCACCTAAATGCATGTTGAATGACTGGCACATGCTGGCTATGTGACCCTGGGAAAGTCACCTCACCTCTTGGTGTCCCAGGCAACTGTCTAAGACTCTAGGGTGCAGCACAGGAACTGATGTGCCTTGGGAAAGGGAGCTCTTCATGGACAGCTCCCTTCAGGCATAAAATCAACATCTGGTGATCAAGATCAAATGGTCAATAGATCAATCAATAGGTATAGACAGAGAGTGATAAGTAAGATATAGATAGATAAATATTTTTAAACACCTTAGCTAGAAATCAATCAGTCACTGCACAAGCATACAGTAAACACCTTCTATGAGCAAGGTGATACAAGGAAATGTAAAAACAGTCCCTGGCCTCACCACCAGAAACTCAAGTTTTGATAAACTTAAACTATTTTAATAAATTGTCTGTTTGCTTGTTAGAAATATCTGAAAGTGCTAATGACTCCTTGGAAAAAGTGGCAAATTATTTCCATTTGAAATCTTCAGAAAGGAAATGGATATTCAGTCCATTTGGCAAAGATTTTCAAGTCTCCTTGGGGTACCATGACCCTGCTCTTACTGGGTGAGAACTGTGACATTAGACATGATGGTGATCTTCAAGCACTGGAAAGGAAGTAGGAATAGATGTGCTCTGTTTGGCTCCAGAGATGGCTTTTCCAGCTCAAAGTCTATGGTTTAATTTCACATTTGCCTCTTACAGCTTTAACCATAGTAGGCTTTGAACAAATGTACCATTCCCTGCCCCTCCACCCCCTAGCGATAGGTTATTTTTTACTTTCTGAAGCACAGATTTTTTTTTAATCTTTCAACTTTACTGATGCAGACATGAGAATTAGAACACACTTAAATTAAATGTCCAGGGTCTAAAAGAAATTAAAATTAGCCGAAGTCCAAAGGAAGTCAGGCTTTAGACAATTAAGTAATCTAATAAAAACTGAAGCATGACCCATGGAATTATTATTAAAATTCTCTTTGGTCTAACAATGTTCAGTGCTACAATAATAATATAGCCACAAAATGCTTTAACACATTCTCTTTTTTTATCTTTACAAAACAAGCAGGGAAAGGAAAGTTACACTGATTCATAGAGGAGGAAATAGTTTCCTAGAGATGAAGTCATTTGCCCAAGGTCACAAATCTGGGACATGAACCTATAGGGTAATGGAGAGACACATTGGTGGCATGAGCAATGAAAAATTGTGTAGGTGTATTGTAGAGGATACCATCAGAGAGATGGATGTGTGACAGAAAAATGAAGTGGGCTGGTCATGTAACAAGAGCAAAGGACAACAGATGGATGGATGACCCTACGCTCCACTGGTACCCATGCAATGTCAAGCGAAGGAGAGGAAAGTCCCCAGCTTACTGGGTAGAGGATTAAGGGGAGGACATGGACCAGACCTTCATGGGATGAGAAGGCATGGATGGGTTGGGATCTGCATTTTAAAGGCCATTGCCTGCATTTAAAGGTCTCTCATTGATGAAATCCCAGGATTGGGGGGGGGTGTTCTTGTAACTTGAATAAATGGATGAAGAACCATTTATTAAGAACTTATTATGTGCTAGGCATTGTACTATGTCCTAGGAATAGGGATACAAAGACCAAAAAAGAGGTCCCTGCTTTCAGAGAGGTTACATTTTAATAGGGGAAGATAACATAGATAGGGGAGTGAGTGGTGGCCAGGGAGGAGTGTTTTGGTCAGGGAAGTCACAGCGATGGAGAGCGGCATCATAAGACAATTCACTGCAAGTCCTTTCTAGGAGTGGCAGAATTGGCTTGATGTCCCCAGATCGAACTAAAGGTAGAAAGTGGGGAGTGGGCATGGGGAGAGGGATGCACAGTGGCATGGTATGAAGGTGGGCCCTGGGAGCAGCATGGAATGTCTGGGTCAAGAGAAATATGTTCACTGATCACCAGTCAAAATCCCCCAGGTGGGAGCTGGATGGATGGATTAGAGGTGGAGAATGGAGCCCAGGAACATGGCTTGAAGGTACCTGGGGAAGAGTGTGGTAGGTCTGAAAAAAGTTGTGATACGAGTTAGAATACTATTAAGTTAACAAGAGGCCGCATGGACTAGTCTGAGAGCTCTCAAGAGAAAAGGTTCACTTCTGGCTGAGAAATCAAGTAAGATCTCTCTTTCTCTTAAATCTGGTTATTTGAGCTTTCTTTGTGGTTTGGACTCTGGACAGAGTTTTTGCTTTGTATGAGACATTTCAATAAAACCAATCTTTTAGGCTTCTTAGACTAGAGTTTAGTGTCTTGATTATGACCCTGAAGATAATGAAGAATTATAACAGCCCATACTTTCCTACAGCCCACTGAAGTGTACAAAGCCCTTCCCCTACAGGACAGGTATCTACTTCATCTGTAAAACAAAGGGATTGGATTAGATGATCTCTGAGATCCCTCTCAACTCTAAATCCCAGTTATCCCTCTGTAGCCTCCCGGCCTTCACTCTGAAGATAGTCTGCCTAAGACTGTCTTAGGAGAGAGAAATCATATCTGGGAATGGACTTATTGGCACCTATGTCTGGGCTTGATGGATGGCATGGTATGGCATGATGTCACCTACGATGCTTCTCTTTCTTAGAAAGAGCCTGCACCCTGTTAATTCTCAAGAGCAAAATTTGTTGAGGTACAGATCTTTCTGGTAGCCCAAAATAAAGACAGAAAGGAACCCATTTCTCCTCATTGGCCTAGGGGTTCCTGCAATGCTGCACACAGGGCTGCTTGCAGCCTGAGACAGGGGTCTCTTTGAGTCTGACCAGTCACCACTGCAACATGAGATTCCTTCTTTCTCTAGTGAGACTATAAAAGGAGTGGTTCCACTCAGCTCTGGGGCAACTCCTAGGCGTTCCCGTACCCACCTGATATTAGTGGGACCCAAAGCATAACTCTGGAGGCATAAGAGCTGAAGCTCAGGGTCTACTGTGCTTTCTGAGAGCTACAATTTCAGGACTAGGGGAAGTGGACTGCAGGACTGAAATTAGCATCTTTAGCATTATGTGTTTCCATTATATACTCATTTCTAGCCCCTTAGAAATTGATCAGTGTTCTGCTGGACCATCAAGCTGACAACTGAAAGGCCCCCAGATGTTTAAACTCAACTGATTTTCTAGGAGGGAGTAGATGAGGCAGAGCATTGTGATAATCTCCACTGCTCTGAGAATGACAAATACTTGCATTGCAGTGAATTTAGGCCATCCTAATGAGAGGACACATTCCCAAAGATGACTTCTTTGAAATGGGAAAAAAAGACACACTCTCCACTCTCCTCCCCCAATTTGCTTCTCTTCTGAAGGGTCCTGTGATCCTCCTATTCCAGAAGGCTTGCAATCTCAGTCACTTTTGCCTCTGTACACTAGGGCCTAGCATATAGCATACACTTAACAAGTACTCATTGAATGGAAGTAAATCAAATCTTTGATTCTTTCCTACCCTTTACCAATCTGCCAAGCCCTATCCATTCTATCTTGA